AAAGGGTAGCCAGCGGTGACTGGCATCTTGACTCGCTAAGGAGGGAATGGTTGTCCTCAGTACTTCCTGCCTTGAGCACCTGTGTTCTCAGAAACTGACCTCTCTGGATCTTGTTCTTGAATACCTGATTCTCCCTGGACGTTGCATAGCAAGCATGTGCCCTGTGCAGGGCTGCTCCTGAGAGAACCTAACTTGTTGCCCTGCTCTTTTGGCATCCAAGGCTTTGTGGTGGGTGTTGGGTCCAACCCCTTTTCTGCTAGGATTTGCTGCTGCACAGTAAGCTACATGCTATTGACACCAAACTATTCTAAGGAGATCCAGTACTTGCTGGAAATTGTAAGTCATATTTGTAAGAAATGTAATTATTTATAATGCTTATTTTTCCTCTGTGTTCTTCTTAAGGAACAATGCAATACGTTTAGTCTCTGTGCTGTGCATCAGAGCTGAAGAGCCTCATATCCTTTTGGTTAACTCTCCTATGTAATTTTAGTTTCATGAAGTAATTATTTTTGCTGGTCCACAGAGTAGATGAGGTCACATTTTCCAGAAGTATATTCAGATTTTACAAAATCTTTTTTCTCGATAAAAGCCCTCTTCTTCATTTCACAGTTCCTCTAAAATATTTAATGTTTTCTTCATGTTATAATTCTTATATCAATACATATTGATATGTGTTGACAGAGCAAGTGTGTTTCTAGGTGGTAGAAATATTTCACATTTTCAGTACATGCTATAATTTTTGAGGGGAAAAAAAAGAAGTGATGATATTAATCTTTCATTTGCTTCAGTCTGACATGAAACCTTAATTGGATGAGTTCATTACAGATGGAATTTGGGTTTGTTTTTCTGAAAATCTAGTTGAATTGCATGCGGCATTGGGGGAAAGCCGAACAAATTCCTGGAGAGAGATGGAAAGCAACATGTTTTTAAGAGAACTATGATAGAAGTTGAGGGGAAAAATGTTTTCTGAGCTGATTTTAGAGGGTGCTGAACTTAAAAAAGGATATAATGCCAGGTCCTAATCTCACTTACCTTTGAATATATTTGCCTTTTCTGTCTGCTCCCCAAGACCTTCTTTCTTTTGACCTATCTCAACAACTACCTTTTTCTCTCCAGACAGATATCTAACTTTGAATGTGCAGCTCTATCCTGTGACCCATGCAAAAAAAAATCTAGGTTCTCTGTGACTCTATGAAAGAAGCTACCTTGCAAATGGGCAGAGGACAGTGCTTGTGGGCCATATCTGAAAGAAGCAAAGGCATGGTACTTTTATCTTGGGGAGATGATCAGCATCTGAAGGATAATGGGATTAGCCAGGCTGAGGGCAGAAAAGCTTGGGGCTACTGCCTGTATGTGCTTGGGGTCAGCATGGAATACAGTATACCTTCATGCATCAGCTACCAGGCTAAAGTAGCTTTGTAGGGAGAGCTGAGGTGGAAACAGAGAAATCTGGGAAGTGGCAGCCATCCAGGAGATAGGTGAGATACAAGGGTGCTCTGATGTTGCTGGTCTGTGAGGCAGGGCTGCCATCTTCATGCACTGTGCTTGTGGCCTGGTTTTGCTCCTACTCTCTCCTACTCTACCATGATGAGGTGTATTGATTTCCTGTTCTGATATCCTGATGCCTGGTTCTGATGAATGAGGTGGTAGCACTCTGTCTCCCTCTTGCTCTCACGACTGCAGATGCCAGGACATGTTTCAGATACATCTTCTCCAGTTTCAAAATTTCCACCAATATCAGAACAATTAGATGTGTTATTGACATTTCAAGGCAGTGTCTTATGCTTAGGATGAAAAATTTTAAATATATAATACACAGGGAAGTTTTGTGGAGACTTAGTTGATACAGTTTCCAGCTTTGTTTTGTCTAGGCTTAAAATTACCGTATTTTAATTGTTTTAAGCAAAAATTGCTTTGCTCATCACTGTATTTATTTGACAGTGGCAGCTTCAGTGCATGTGGATCAGTAGCATCACTGTCCCGTAGTGTGATTTGTAAGACAAATCGTAGTTATTACATTAACAGTGTGCAGTAAATGAAGTTTGAGAGGTACACAGGTGTGAGTTGTTTGCTTGCTGCTATCGAAAAAAATGTATTGTCAAAGTAATGATAGCTGCATTTGGCTTTGTAACTAGATATCCAAAGGACTGATGCTATTAACTGGATGACAAAAATGAGACTGGGGGGAAAAAGAGAGTAAGGCCATAATTAAGTAATGAGGAAATTGGTATCCAGTAAGATTAAACAGTATGCAAATGATATTTCTTTCTGGCTTTACTAAATTCTTTTAATACAGAAATAGATTGTAACTAACTTGATTAAATTTCTGTGTGTTTATGAATACAATGTTTCTAAAATAGTAATAAATAAAAAACAATAGAGACTGGGTTCACTAATCTCAGGAATTCCTGATACTCGATATGGTAAAGTCTGACCCTGTCTTGCCCTAGTGTGGCCAGGGACATCAGTATTCCATACGAAGTGTCCTTGAAGTTTTAATAGAGGTTCATCACGTTTTAAAATCTGATAATAGGGTGGATTTTCCTTTTTTTCTTACTCTTTGCTGAAACTTGTTACTAACACAGACTGATGCATAGCTCTAGATACTAAAGTGACTTAAACATTCGCTGCATATAATCTTGGGAAGAATAAGTTACCTTGTGAGGAATCCCCTTTGAACTAATTTACTCCTTGCATCATTGCTGGCAGGCAAGCAGGTGCTAGGAGGGGACTCTTCAGATAGAATTGTTCCTGCCAAGAATCAGACTTCTTATATATGGCAATGTTATAGACAGCTGATTTACAGATGCTTATATATATGTGTGTGTGTGTGTGTGTGTGTGTGTGTGTGTATATAAATGGACTTTCTGCTTTCTGTAGCTAATAAAGAGTAACTGTAATAAGTCTTGTGTTCATCCTGCCTGTGACAAATTTTAGATTGCTAATGCGTACCATGCCATTTATTTCGACTGGCAATGTGATCATCAAAGTTGTGCAAACTCCTAATGCCTTCATCTAGGAAGGGCCATAAATTTACCTCTCCATGATATTTCCTAGGAATTACAGATAGTTACTAGCTGTCTGTAGCTTTCTTTAAAAAGCTTTCAGAGTTGGTGTTTGTTCATGAATGCAGTAAAGTAATGCCCAGAAGAGTTACACTCCTCATTTCTCTTGACCGATAGTCACTAATACGTGTGTCCTTCCAGTGCCTGCTGCATGATCCAAGTGGAGCACTGGGGAGAGCTAATATGAAATACAAATTGCAGTATCAACCTACTGAGACCATGACTTTTCTTGTGGAAAATGAAATTTTGCAGATACTTGGCTTTATTTCCAGTGGCAGGGTTTCATACCCAAAATGATCCTGTTACTGGGATGTTCCTTAGCTGGGCAGCTGAACCTGCCATTCATTACAAGCAGCTGGGGTCTGTTAGTATGCTCACCTACCTGCCAAAGGCAACTAGTAAAATTTGAAGGCGATTCTCTGGTTTGCCTCTCTTAAACGATGCCAGGTAAAGGTAAGAATCTGAATAGTTAAAATTTGTACACCTCTGACACTAGGGTATTTCTGTAGCTAAAAGTCATAGGCCTTTGCTGTAGCAGTAGATGTCTATTGCCCTCTTAGCAGTGAACTCTAAAGAAACCAAACTTTTGTGTGGAATGGTTTCTTTAAGGTTTTGAAGTGTGGTTTCATCTTAAAGAAGCCATGAGCCTGGACAAACTGGTGCTGAGAGAGATTACCTTCCTATTTTGCTAACAGTTCTTCTCATGTATTACAGCCTTAAATACAAGTCTTTGAAATCCTCTAAATAATTCTTATACAACATACACAAGCAAACGAGCAAAAAAAAAAAAAGGAGGACTTTTCCAAGGAAAATCAATTTATTCTTAAAAATATGATAGTTTCACTTCTTTGACAAATCTTTGCTAGACATTTTTTATTAGTTTTAGTTTTTACTGATGTATTTTGTGACTTTTAGGTGAAATATATAATGCTAAAATTTCAGGCATCCATTACTTCTTCTACATTTAGAAGCAAAGAACCAGCCCATGTTGTTAAGCAGTCTCTACTTATCTCTGTAACCAATCAACACAATTGGATTTTAAGCACAGTGGTCATTTTAATGAATTACTTCTCAAATGCTGTGAAATATAGTTCCTCAATTAATGTCCTAAAAAGTTAGAAGGGTTCTCTGGCTTTGGGGAACACTACTTAACTATAACATTCTTTGTGTTTTCAAGCAAGATAATACAGAAATTTAAAACTATTCCAACTATTAAAAATTAAGAGCTGAGTGGAATCTAACTTACTATGTGTAAATAGTTCTGCAGGAGTACCTGCCTGTGTTTTCTGAATCATAACTGGGACATATGGAAAATCTGGAAAATCTCCCAGAAAGGCATCCAGTAGAACTGCAGTATTCTGCTGAATTAAATATGAAGAAATAATAATAACAATAACAATAATAATGCATACTGCAAAATATCTTGAGACTGCAGAGATTTAATTATTTAATTTATGGATTAAATAATTTTATAAGTGTTTCAGTCTAAAAATATGTGTTTCCAGTTGTCTTACGTTAAGCTAGGTTGTTTAGCAACATATCAAAACATTTCCATGAAAAGATTACTATCTTTTTTTTAATTAATCCCATAGGCAGCTTTTGCAAATGTTTTTGTACTGTAAATGATTACAGTGAGGCATTAAAGCACATTCAGAGAACAAAATTCTCCCTGTGTATCCTTCTTGCCCTTCAAATTATGTTTTAATACCAACCTGATAGCAGGGTTTACAGAACTGTGTGGACTTGCTCAGGGTGCTATTACATATATTTAGTAGCAATCCCTGATGAAGTATTTCACAGTCTTCCTTTTCCAGTAAAAAATTAAATCTCTGATTTCTTGAGTTCTGCACAATCCGTGCTTTTCTGTCTATTAAAAGTGGCCATAGGAGAGCTATAGGACAGCAATGTTAAAACCACTGTAATACTTTCTTTCAGGAATTACGGCAGAAGTCATAGTGGTAACCTCTTTTGATGAACTGCATAAAAGATCTCAGGAGGCCAAGGGGAAGATTGTTGTCTACAATGAACCTTTCATCAGTTATGGTGAAACTGTGCAATACAGAGTACGGGGAGCAGTGGAAGCTGCTAAAGTTGGAGCAGTGGCATCCCTCATTAGATCTATTACTTCTTTTTCTATTCACAGGTAAGCATTTTTTCTCTTTTCTCCCTGTAACTCACATTTCAGCCCTTTAGTTCACATGTCTTTTCTGGGCAGGCTTAAACATTGCCAGTTATGAGTGGATGTTTGGTGTAAAACTATAGTTCTTTTCCCTGGTGCTTTGTCATTCTTTCAGAATGTTTTAATTTTTATGTTACTGATCCAAGTTTTGTATGATATTTGTTTTAAAGAACTTCCGGCATTCTTAAGGCTGCCCTAAATATTCTGACATCAACCAAAACCAAATGTCTTTCCTGACAACATGTATCAGACCGTCAGTGATCCTATGAACTGGTTATTCTGTATGTTTGACTAGAATGTAAGTGTACAGTTTTCAATGTATTGGTCATTTTCCTAGCATGAGGCTGACTTGTGCTACATGAAGGAGTAGTCTGCTTTCAACATAATTATTTAAAACACTTTAGCAGTAAGGCTTGTAATTCTCACACTGCTTTTTAAGTTTTTACTTTTTTTTAAAAAATATTTTTAGATGTCTTAGTACATTACTTATTTATCACATATAGCATTATGTTACTGAAACAATATTTTTCTAGTTTTCTGGTTGATAACAAAGTTCTTTATTTTATCTAGAATTTTTTTCCAACTCTGAAAGCTTACACTTAAAATGCTTATCTATTGTGAAAAACATTAATTGAGGCATAAAGAGAAAATGGAGAGTAGTCCATCCATAAAGTAAAAGGCTGACAGATGCACACCATTCTTTAATATAGTATTTTTTTAAATCTTACACAGTTATTGGTGAGCTTAATGCCTGCAGGGATCTTTGTGTAGTAGCCTGCTGGCTGTGGTGAGAGTTCTGGTCAGGCAGACCCAGACAGCAGAGCTGGACCAAGGACTGCAAACTGGACAGACCTATCTCCCTGCCCAACTTCTCGTACCTGAGCAGGATTGTAAGGGGCTTTAAGTGGTGCCAGACACAAAGCTTGACTGCTTAAACTGTAGAACTCTGTTAATAAAACCACTTAATGTAAGACAACATGGAAGACATGCAGTTTATACAACAGGTACTGTATTTTGTAACATCATTCTTTCTTTGGCAAGTATGTGTTGAGAACAATACAGATCATTTTTTCCTCCCTCTAGTTACCTGGTAACTCTGTACCCACAGAGGAGTCATTGGCAGTAGCTAATCTGTCCCCAGATGTGTGCCACATTGTAACCTGGAATTGTATTCTGTTTAGATAACACCATGGTTTCTTTATGATCTCTGCTTCTGTGTTTACTTTCTGCAGAAGTCTAGGCTAGTAGGTGGAAAAGGTCATAACAGCTTTGGGTCTTTCTTGAGGCTAGAACTGGGAAGTCGCTGGGGCAGGCACATGGAGACATGCTTGATTCCACTATTTCACAGAGAACATGACTGGTCATATCTCAGCAATATGAGAAGTGTGCAAGCTTCATCATTTGAATGCTTCAGAGAGTCAGAAACCATTAATGCCAACTGACTGTCTTAGAACAAATGCAGAGAACAGCTCTGCATGTGTAGAAACTATGTAGAAACTACCAAGAAACTGTAGTTTCTTAGTAGCATTTTTATATGCTTGACCTGGTTTCAGCTGGGATAGAGTTTGTTTACTTCTTAGTAGCTGGTGCAGTGCTGTGTTTTGGATTTTATATGAGAATAATGTTGATAACACACTAATGTTTTGGATGTTGCTAAGTAGTGCTTACCCTAAGTCAAAGACTTTCTAGTGTCTCATGCTCTGCCAGTGAGGATCAGCACAAGAAGCTGTGAGGAAGCACAGCCAGAACAGCTGACCCAAACTGGCCAAAAGGGTATTCCATACCATAGGATGTTATGTTCAGTGTGAAAACTGGAGGGGGTGGGTGGCTGGATGGGGCCAGTCACTGCTTGGGGATGGGCAGGTGGTGAGCAACTGCATTGTGCATCACTTGTTTTCTTGGTGTTTATTTATTTGCTATTGTTTATCTTGTGGGTTTTTTTAATTACAATTATAATTTTTATTATAATTTTTTTTTTCAACTATTTAACTGTTCTTACCTCAAGCTATGACTTTTTGTTCTTCTTTTTCTGAGTCTCCTTCCCATCTCACCTCGGGGTGTAGTGAGTGAGCTGTTGCATGGTGTTTAGTTTCCAGTTGGAGTTAAACTATGAAAATGCTACATATTCCCCTAAAGAAGGGGAATAAACATTACCTGTTTAAAATGCTTTCTCAAATATAAAGCACTTGATTCAGATATTACCCAAACTATTTCTAGTGTATTTCTTGGTGACGAACAAATGTGATGTTTATGATGTATTTTCAAAAACTTAGAATTTTCTAACATAGTTCATAGTGATGAACAGATAGATAGTACAATATATTTCAAAAACAGTTTTATGAAAAATTGTATGTTTTAAAATAGTCTTATTTGGTATCATCACAGAATATTGCAATCTATAATGTGTTGATTTACTGAAAACCAGAAGATGATCTGTCCTGTCCTTAGTTACGGTGCTGTGCAGAAGGGTTCATGAGAGTGGCTCTTTGTATGTTTTATTTGCAGAGCATCTATGGAAGTCAACTTAAAATGTAATGAAAAATTTAGAGATGAGAGATGGAGACGGAAGGTAGGCCTCTTTATTAGGATTAGGTATGGGCATTACAGCTATTTCAAAATTGAATGAAAAGAGAGGAGAAATAGACGCCAAATGCATGTTTGTTTAGAGGTATTGAATCCTTAACTGAGACTGGGAGCTGAGGTGTCATTCCCAAAACCAAATTCAAATTTAGACACTGCCAGGGAGCATTTTTTCACTAAGTGTACTTTCTGTACTCTCTTCATTTACCTTTGGATGTGGAAGTGATTGATTTATCTATTTTTTCCTATAATATGGAAGGTATTCAGGTCCAGCCCATCACTTCTGATACTTGGTTTTGACTAGATCTTTTTGTCTTGTTTTTAACAAATAGATATTGCTGTAGGCAGGATGGATTTTCTTATCTCCACGCCTTCTCCTATGTTTTCTCTTAATCACCAGCTGTGTGTCTTCCTTGTCTATCCTACCAGTGCGCTGTGCTGGATGGACTATGTGCTGGATGTGGTGCTTCTTATCAGTCTGTGTCTGGGGCACTGTTTGTTCAAGTTACTTGCCTTTTTGATTAACTGATGGGAAATACTGTGCTGCTGCATGTGTTAGAAGGGTGAGAGATGAAGGGTAAAAAATAAAAGGTTTCTAAATGTTGTGAAAGTAAATCTTGCATTCTTGCAATTTGTATGCTGCTGCTTTGTTGACCACAGCTGCTTTGTTGACCACAGCTTCCTTGGCCTGTGTTTACATGTTCGCCAGTAATATGAATAAATGATAATGGGATCGTGGAGTTTTCTAAAACATCTTGGAAATGTCTTAAATATCCTCCTTCTCACACTGCACTATCCTACTTTGATCGGGTAAATGAAAGCTGAAACATCACAATTTTTCCTATGCTGTATCAGCTTTGGTGGATTTTTTGGGGGAGGGTTATTTGTTTGAGGGGTTGGTTTGTTTGTTTTTCAAATATTTCAATGCCTTTTGGACAGGGGACTGCTTATTTTTATTTACTTACTCTCTTTGCTGGAACAATGTAAGCCAGTCTGTGGTGTGATTTCTAGGTGATCTTGCAATGTGAATAATACTGATCGGCTAAAACTAGGTACTTTCTAGTAGATTAACATCTTAGGCTTATTAGGGCTCATTATTAAAGCTTACTGACAAGACATAATTGATGAAATCACAACATGAATTAAATCACTGTTCTCTTGCTGGTAGCTTGATGGCTGTTCCTTGTTTCAGAGATGGCAAGTGTCTGCCACATTTTCAAGGGCAAGAAGTGTGAAGGGAATCTTTGACCAGTGATTATGTGACAGTTTATTTTTTTTTAAGGTGTGGTAGTATAGCTATGGAGTGAGTGAAGTGCCTTGGGGGCTCAGGCAGGTAAGAAGGGATGAACTTGATTATACTCTGCAAAACTCATTGATGTGTTTGTATTAGGGTTCATGACACTCATTGGTGACAGTGAAGGACTTGAAGTATTTGCTGTTGAGTTTCAAGGAGTAGATTAATTTATTTAGGGCAGCATTGCTAAGTGAATAGGAGACAAAATTAGCAACTGCATCCTTCTTGACATGTTGGCACTAGTTACATGGCTGGTATTGCGATGTTACGTGGCAGTTGTGTCTCGTGGCATTGTCTGCCTCTTGTGTTAGAGTGAAATGCTACTATATAGGTACCATGTAAGAGTGGGGGGTTTTTTACTTAGGAGAAGGTCACTGTAATTAGTACGTAATTTCATCTGATTCCAATTCTTGGAAGGGTGGAAGGGACATCTTCCACTGGACCAAGCTGCCCAAAGCCACATCCACCCTGACCTTGAACACCCCCAGGGATGGGACATACACAGCTTCTCTGGGCAATCTGTTCCAGTGCCTCACCATCCTCACAGTGAAGGATTTGTTCCTAATATCTAATCTAAACCTGATCTCCTTAATTTTGAAGCCATTCCCCATTGTCCTACACTACAGGCCTTTGTGAAAAGTCTCTCTCCATCATTCTTGCAGGCTCCTTTTCCCCGTAATAATTTCTTGAAGCACTGGCAATTTGGTGGTGAAGTGTTTAAACACAGATATTGAAATGTTTAAACACGGATATTAGGAGATAAGAGTAACAGAACTATTTTTAATGAACCTTCTCAAATAATATGTATTATTATAATCACTCAGCAGTATCCATGTTATTTGGCCTTCTGTAGAAATCTGAATACTTCCTTTTTTTGCTTTAATAGCTTGGCTGTGCTGAGATTAATAGTCTTGTAGAAGTTAAAATAATACATACATTTACTATTGTGTACAATAAACCGATGAGTGTTTCCAGTTTGTAGTGGATGTTTTTTTCAATAAAAATACTCAATTTACAAGGCATGGTTAAAGAAGTGATTGTAACAAGCTAACCTGTTTTCTTTTGCTTCCTAGCTGTACATTTTTGAAAC